AACACAAGAAACCAAGTCATGAGACAAGAGCCCCGATGACGAGCATTGTCACCACTCAACCGTTCGAACTTGTCTCAATGGATTTCTTGCATCTTGACAAATGTCATGGTGGTTATGAGTATATTCTTGTAATCATTGACCACTTTACGCGTTTTGCCCAGGCATACGCCACAACTTCAAAATCAGGAAAAACAGCTGCGGACAAACTCTTCAATGACTATGCACTGAGGTTTGGCTTCCCAACAAGAATACACCACGATCAGGGTGGTGAGTTTGAAAACCAACTGTTCACCCAACTGAAAAAGTATTGTGGAGTTGCTGGGTCGAGAACTACTCCCTACCATCCCCAAGGGAATGGACAGGTAGAGCGGTTTAACCGAACACTACTTCAGATGTTAAAGACACTCACAGAGAGACAAAAGAGTAACTGGAAAGACTCACTAAACAAACTGATCTACGCGTACAATTGCACTCGGAGCGAAGTGACTGGGTTTTCCCCCTTCCATCTGCTGTACGGACGCTCCCCACGGTTGCCAGTTGACATGTTATTCAACTTGACCTCAGAACAAGGGAACGGTAATCACCATCACTACATGGAAAAATGGAAGCAGGGCATGGAAGAAGCCTATGAGATCACAAGAGAGAATGCTCACAAAGCTACGATCAGAAGTAAGAGACATTATGACCGTAAAGTTAAAAGCTCTGTGTTACAGCCTGGAGATCGTGTCTTAATCAGGAACATGACACCCCGTGGGGGTCCAGGAAAACTGAGAAACCACTGGGAGGATACTATCCACACAGTTGTGCGCCAAGTGAGTCCAGATATTCCTGTTTACGAACTCAGACCTGAGAAAGGAAAAGGGAGATCAAGGATTTTACATCGTAATCTTCTCCTTCCATGTGACTACCTGCCACTTGAAACATCAGTGCAGCCACGAGCAAGGAAAAGAAATGTGGAGCAAATTGAGGAAGCGGAGCAGTCAGAAGAAGAGGACGATGGAGATGAGTATTATCCAGTACCACTTCAGCAGCAACCTGAACCCGGCCCACCTGAGATAATGAACCCTGTGTGTAGTACACCTCCGGAGCTCGAATGCATACAGTCTGAGGAAAACGTGCCACCTGAGCCAGATAGAGAACAAGGAGCGACAAATCAACTGGAAAACTCACTGGAGAGAGAGGACAGTTCTGTCGAGGATATGCCTTTTGAGGAAGCTATCCCCTTGCTTGTTTCAAGTGACCCCAGTGGTGAGGAGCTTCAGCGGTCCAGACGACAGCACAGACGGCCCAAGGTTTTCACTTATGATAGGCTTGGTTCACCAGTTTGCCACAACATTAGGACATTACAACAACAAAACTGGATGGTGCCATGGACATATACTGTGCAGCCACATCACCTACAATACTTCCGGCACTAAGAACCTGAAAGGTAGAAACTGAACTGATTAAATGCATACACATTACACTCAAAATGGAGTGTTCAGCACAGAATGCACATTTAAATGGACTGTTGAACATACAATGGACTGTGGTTACACTGTACATACACATTCATATGACACTGTTGCAGTAAATCACACCACACTCATGGACCTTTGTTAAAGGAGAGTGTAATTGACTTGAATTTGTTGCACAAACAGAACTGTTAACAAGGCAGTAATGTGTCTAAGTGGATACAAAACAAAGACCAAAAGAGGACATTCAAGGGGATTGGGTTTTTACCTGTGCCTGAACAAATGTATGAAAAGAGTTCCAGTCTGTAATACTGCACTAAATAGGATAAAATGTAGCAGAAGTGTTGATCTGAATTAACAGTGCATTGTGCGTTGATTAATAGTGTATGGTTTAACCCCTTATTTGCACTAAAGGTGAAAGGTTACATTAGGATGTTGGGGACAACATCTATTTTGAGGGGGAGTATGTGACAAGTGAGTGTTATAGTTCATAATTCATTATTGCATATAAAATAGTCTGTTATATAATGCGTATTAAGTTTTATCACTGTTTAAAATCAGTTTTATTAAGAAATTAGAGCAATATTAAGAAGTTGAATGCAGATAATACTGATCTTCGTCTGTATGGGTTAATTGTTCGTTGATCGTTTGGTAATGCCTTGGGGTTGCAGTAGGGGGACTCCGCGCGCTTCTCTTCCTCTTTCAATACAGACGAGTGAAGGCGAGAGCTGCGTGTGTGCGAGTTTCTTCTGTATTCTCATTATTTTTCCCCTTTTAAGGTAATGACCACTCACAAAAGCAATGTAAATATTAACACATGTTGATATTAGAATACATTTCATTATGTTAGGTTTATCTGAGTAAAAGAGACGTTTTACATGTCGTTAAAGAGTTTTGTGCTAACTGAGAGACCACTTCATGCTAGCAGCCGGAGACCTCGTGCTCCGTCGTGTCCGAGTCCCGCTATATATGAGTGTTAACTTTATTTTTGGTGTTTAAGTGAGCTACCGACATTCATATATTTTTGTTGTAAGATATATTGTGAATTTATCACTATAAGGGTGAGTTTGTGTCATGCTTGAGACAATGAATACTGTTAAAAGTATAATTCATTTTAGTGTTATGTGAGAACTAACGTAAAAAATGAGTATTAATGTAATTTGATAACTTTGTTAAAAACAATTTACATTTCATATGGTAATTTGGATAAAAAGATAATTTAGAATGCATTAATAAGATACTTGTGACTGTGGTCCTGAATCTGATGAGTGCACTAATTTTGAAATGTATGTTTTCTCGTATACATTGTTCAAAAACTCTTTCAATACAGACGAGTGAAGGCGAGAGCTGCGTGTGTGCGAGTTTCTTCTGTATTCTCATTATTTTTCCCCTTTTAAGGGCACAACACTTCCAGCTATATCAGCACGTCATCATATACGGTAGGTGGCGGTAATACTCCTAAGCGGTGAGCAGCCGGTAACAAGAAGTAGTCGAAGAAGAACGTCCTCGTCTCAGTTCTCGCGCATGCGTTCTGGAATCTCTTCAATTCTCGTCTCAAGGCCCATAAGGAAGTAATGGAATAGTCGAATAAAGTCGTTATTAATGGGGGTTTTTTTCGCACAAAAAGTGTTCTCGTCGCTTGATAAACTTATAAATGAGCCGCTGTAGGCACATGGAATATTTAAACATTTTCTTTAATGACTTTATGGGCCGTCAAGTGCTAGTCCCTTAGGAAGCCTATGGAGGAGTGATCCAGCTCTCAAATTTAATCAAAAATATCTTCATTTGTGTTCCGAAGATGACAAAGGTCTTACGGGGTTGGTACTGTCACAGTCTGTCATCTTCACCAGTTTGTCCCTTCATCTGCACTACACTTCCCCGGATCCTTTTGTTTCTACTCCCGGACTCACTCCCCAATCAGCCACCTGTTCCTCGTCCTGTCATTATCATTTTCACCTGTGTTCACCCCACTTAGCCTGATTCCTCTGTGTATTTAGTTCTGTTCAGTTTCATTCAGTCTTGTCGGTCGATGTCTATTGTTGTTGACTTTGAACCCGTGTGGTGCCTGTATTCCCGTCTGCCTGCCTGTATTTCTATATTAAAACCCTGTTCTCCCGATTCTCCGGTCTCCTTGTTCCTCAGCCTGAACCACACCGTGACAGGTACAGCATGGGGGTGAGTAATTAATGACTTAATTTTCATTTTTGGGTGAACTAACCCTTTAAGGAACAATATTTGCCCCCTAAATTCATTTCCCTGTTTTTCTTTCATTTCATTCATTTACTTTCATTTTTCATTTTGCCCATATATGCATGAGTGAGTGTATGAGTGTATGTCTTTGTTTAGACTTTTATAAAGTATTTTTTTTAACTTTATAAAAAAATGTTCAATAGTGCAATGATGGTAAAAAAAGTGATACTTTTAAATATTAAACTAAAACTGCCAGTAGTTGTCTTGATGAGCGAGTCTTCGGGCCCTATTTTTATGATCTAAGGGCATGGTCTAAACTCTAAAGCGCATGGCGCAAGCACATTTAGGGTCGTGTCAGAATCCACTTTTGCTAGTTTAATGCTGGGAAAAACGGCCGCCGCACCCGTTGCATGGTCTAAAAGGGTTTGCCCTATTCTCTAAATGAGTAATCGGTGTGTTTTGGGCGTAACATGCAATAAACCAATCACAGTCTCAACTTTCATTCCCTTTAAAAGCCAGTGGCGCTCACTATTTCCATGGTGGAATTTACAAGCGGAAAGACTAAACCCTTCTCCAAAGAGGAAACAGATTTCGCAAAGTTCGCAAGTTCGGTATTTTACAATTAAAGCTCTGTTTTAAGATCGTTTCTGATGAAATAGAATGGTTAAGATTGCTTTTTAGACAGACACTGCTGTCCCGAGAATTTTCAGTTTCTGTGATTGCACCCGCCCACCTTCACAATGGTTGCTTAGCTTACAAAGATGTGAAACTCACCGAGTGGTCTGGGGTGTTCACTGATAAGCTCACACAGAAATTGCTGCAAAAGATGCTTTCCCACAGGTTTTATCGTAGTTTTTGTCCAACTCCATTGACTTGTATTGTATGTTCTGTGATGTACGGTATTACTCCGCTGCCGGAAACGGAAATGGGGTTATTTGTATTCTTTCTGTAGTCTTATGCAGTCGCGGTATCGTAGGCTACACTATACAAGTGGTTTGCTTGCAATTGGCAAAGGTGCATTATCGCCACCAACTGGGCTGGAGTGCCTATTGGTCAAGCTCTCAACGGAAGAATGTACGGTTGTGAGGCATTCGGAAAAATAGGTCTACAGTTTTACAACGAATGGTAAAACACCTGTTGGAAAGCGTCTTTGGCAGCAAACTGAGCTGCTCTGAGACATTGAAAACATTGGATCATGATCTGCTTGTGTGTAAACGAACACATTGCTGAAACGCGCGACGTATAAATAAATGCATAGACTTTGTGATTAATAATCACACTAAGCCATATCGCTATTTTGATTTTACTTCAATGAATCGTACAGCTCTGTGTGTCAAAATAATGCAGGAGTTTTACCTTTAGTTAGATCACTGGCTTCCTGGTTCAAAATGGCAATGTCTAAGCCAGGTGACCCTGGTCTCGACCAGCTGCAGGAAGTAAAAGGTCTGGCACTGCCTGGCCTGGAGGAGCTTTTCAGATTGAGAGGCTGGGCTGAAGCAGGTCTGACGCCGCACACACTGTCACATCTCTCTTCTAATGGAGCGAAACATTCTTAAGCATATCAAGTGATGCTGAAACAGTCTTCAGACAGTCTTGGTAGCAACTACTTGTTGTTACCTCTATCTGTATTTGTGTTCTCCAGGCTGTCATTAACTGAACCATCTTTGATCGATTCTTTGAGATGAGTCCAATCCTGCTGTGAAGTTCTACAGCATTGAGGTTTGTCCTCTTCAGCAGGAACGTCATCAAGGAAGCTAAGCTGAGGGATCATCTCACAGACCGCAGACCTGTAGTTGTAGTCTAATACCTGTTCATCAAACACACAAACCAAATGTGATGAATCTATCTGGAATACAAGTGTATTTTGTGTTGTTCTAGCCTAAACACTGTAGCAACCCACCCAGAATACCCTAGGAACTTCAAAACAACATGCTAACAGCTATATATGGTGGCAACTTATTTCTTATTATTATACATTTTGAAAACAGTTGTGGTGCTTAAAGGAGAACTCCGGCGAACAATGAACCCTTGGTCTAATAAAACATCGATACCTAGTCGATCGTTCTCTGAGATTTGTTTTCATGATAATCGAATGTAAAGAGTTTTATCTCTAAAAACTGTTTAGCGTATAATGCTAGTAATGGGGGCACTGACTAAGTAAAAAGAAATCACTAGTTTATACCACTAACAAGGCTCAAAATAGCCCCTTGCTAACACTGTAACATAATTAGGGTCCATACATGCAAAACGAAGCATTGAGAACTTTGTAAGAGTACAGACCGTTTAATAAGAAGATACGTTATAAAGACAGTTCACTTCATGTATACACAGCAGGAGCCATCTTAAAAAAGTCTCGATAAGTCGATCCCCGAACGCCGTTCATACAGTTCAGAAGTTCGCTGAACTTCATACAGTTCAGCCAAAGAGTATAGAAGAACAAGAGGCGAAACTCTGATGCTTTTTTGGTAACAGCCACTAGATGGCGCTTCGGTATCGCGGCAGCCATATCGGGGTGAAAATTCCAACTGGAGTTACTGGACAACAGCACAGATAACAGTTTTTTGAGGTAGTTTTTTCTTGCATTAGTGAGTATTTCCATTGTATGCAACTTTACACTTTTACTACTATTATTAGTTACCAACTCCACTAGGCCTAAAATATATTTTGGACGTTTTAATCCCCTGGATCATGCTACAAACATGATGATCATTGATGCGCTGTGTCCGTTATCCTATAATAACTTTATGAATTGATATTATAACTTTATGAATTGATATCATTTTATTCTTCACCTATCACACTTAATGTGGAGAGTAATATAGCCTAATGAATCAAATCCTCAAACTTCCCTGTCTCAAGTTATGTGGGGGTAAAAGCCCGGTTAAAGGTATAGCGGAGGATTTTCTTTTTCCGGGTGGGTAGTTTATACTATTGGTCCACCTAAGTGTCAATCTTAGTGTGGTGATATGTTTACGTAAGGCCGTCGTACGTGCTCATCCCTATGAAGTTTTCACTTTAAGGTGTATTATGTCGGAGTTACGGTTTCAGCCATTCCTTTGAAAATGGCTGAGGGTCGAAAGAGAAAAAATGTTTACGAAATGTATGATAAGAAGAGAAAGGCCGCAGAATATAGAAACAAGACCAGAGTGATTTTGGGTGAATATCACACGCTGGCGTGCGCTAAAAGCACAGGTTGGGCTTCTCACTGATGCCGCAGTCGCGAATATTCTACCAGACAGGTAAAGTTTGTCATGCTATTTGGAGAAATCCATTTAAAATCACTAGTAAAAGTTAATGCAAGCTACAATGCTAGCCCTGGCACGAGTCATGCACCGCATAGACACGGTAAACATCTCAATTTGTCTAAAGTAGCCTTTTGACCAAAATGGTAAATGGTATCACGCTGAAATATTCTAAAATCTTGTGTGTTCATATTCTAAAACCTTGTGTGTTTATTATTACACAAATGCAACAAGCTACTTCTCCATATGCAACTATGTATAAAAATAACGTATTAACAATGAGAGATATTAGGTTAAGGACCAACGTAATAGCACTGCTTATATGTAGCTATGTAACGTAATTGCGATTTGCAAAATAGTTTCCTCAGAACGTATTTCGTGTGATACAGGGTTGCACATATCATGTCTTGAGTCCTCGGTCACTCAATCGATCAGTATAATAAGTAAATAAAACACGGAAGGGCATTTGACATGTTGTCTTTTATATGAATATTTTTGAGTTAGTTTAGAATTTGCAACATAATTGTGCAAGGCGTAATAGACGTTCCCTCTCGGGAGCAAGAGTGTTGTGTTTGTGCATGTGCATTTTTTTTAAAACTTGGAGAGGGCGGGTCTTCTCTAAAATTCGGAAAGATCCTCCGCTATACCTTTAAGTAGCAACTTCTTTTTTTTACTGCTATGTGAGTTAAATAATCACGTAGCCTAATTATTTCAACCTAAAATGATCTCTGCACTGGACTAAATATATGACTGTCGAGTCGCTTTCACCCCGAAATGTTGGAAGCGTAGGGCTGCTGCTGGGCGCTGGTGTTGCAATGGAAAGTTCTATTGGCTTTCACTTCTTGTCAATATACGTTCTTTGGTTCAGCTCACTCAGCACGACTTTCTTGGTTTGACTTATCGAGACTTTTCTAAGATGGCTTCTGTCTGTATACATGAAGTGAACTGTCTTTATAACGTATCTTCTTATTAAACGGTCTGTACTCTTACAAAGTTCTCAATGCTTCGTTTTGCATGTATGGACCCTCATTATGTTACTGTGTTAGTGTGGGGCTATTTTGAGCCTTGTTAGTGGTATAAACTAGCGATTTCTTTTTACTTAGTCAATGCCCCCATTACTAGCATTATACGCTAAACAGTTTTTAGAAATAAAACTCTTTACATTCGATTATCATGAAAACAAATCTCAGAGAACGGTTGACTAGGTACCGATGTTTTATTAGACCAAAAAGGTTCATTGTTCATGTTCATCATGTTTTGACTGAGATGTACTTTGTAGTTTGCTACCATGGTTTCGGATTAGTTGCACACCTGTTCCATATTTCTTTGATTGCCATCCTCTGTGTATTTAAGCCCTACGTTTCCTCAGTTTTGTGTTAGTCTTTGAAGTTTATCAAATTTGGATACTTCGGTGTTAGATATTTTCAGACCAATCTCTAAACTTTCGTTTCTTTCCAAAATGTAACAGAAAGTTGTATTTATACAACTAAAGTCCTTTTTAAGTAAACATGTTTTTCAATAGTGGTGGGCAGATCGAGGCTTCGTGAAGCACTGAAACAGTTGAACCAAATGTGCCATATTGTGTCGAGACTTCGAATCAATCCGACACCCTTTTACACTGTGACTAGTGGTCACTTGCAGGTGTTGCAAGTGAATCATTTTTTTTTATTTTTTATTATTGTAGCTATTTTTCTAATATGTGAAGCTTGTAGCCTGTATGCTACTCACTGTGCAGAATGTTATTTTGGTCCTGACAAATGAATAATAAAAGAAATCAAGCCACAATGTCTCACTTTTTAGATATTCTTTTTTAAAATATTAATTTCTCTTCTTTTGAAGGCTGGAAAATTTTCTTTGGTCTCACCAGACCTATAAAACATAAACATACAGTATAAACATATCAACATCATATCATATCAGTGCTGTACATCTGTCATCTGTCTATCACAACACTGCAGTTTAGCCTACCCCATTCACGCTGTATATACAATATACTCTCTCCAGAAAATAACCATTTAGGGTGTTTTATTCCAGTCAAAAAAAAATCCTCTCTAAAAAACCCATGAGTTGAAGATTAGTTGACTTCACTTATACAGATGTGCGATTGTGTTTTCTTCCTGACTCTGTCAATCAAATGATGAAGCGGCGGAGCACTCGACCCGTCGAAACACTCAGAAGCTTCATTTAGCCATAGTCACGTGACATGGGTGTTTAGAATCACGTGCCGGATCAGTGTTTCGACACATCTGCATTTGGAATCTCGCAAACCTTCAGAACGACAGTTTCGCGTCTGACATCGCTAGTTTTCAAGAGGTTTTCCAGTCTGGCTTCAATCCCTTCACCGCACAGAAATGGCCCTATTGAAAGTTTTTAATGACAACTACCTGCTACTTGCCACTGACTCAGGTGATTACACTGTTCTCATGCTCCTAGATCTTACGGCTGCATTTGATACTGTAGGCAACAACATTTTGATCTCTCGTTTGTAACATTTTGTTGGCACTAAGGGTACAGTGTTAGAGTGGTTTAGGTCTTACTTGTCTGAAAAAAGCTTTTCTGTTTACCTTGGAGATTTTGTGTCCTCCTCAGCATCTTTTTCACGTGGAGTTCCCCAAGGCTCCATTCTTGGACCTATCCTATTTTCCTTATATGTACTTCCTCTAGGCCTAGGGTCTATTTTTGAGAAGTATGGCATCTCATTTCACTGCTACACAGATGATACACTGCTCTATCTACCTCTGAAACGAAAGATGTTAACTCAATAGTATTATTGTTGCGCTGTCTAAAGGATATTAATGCCAGGGTGACCTTACATTTTTTAAAAATTTAATGAAGGAAGAACAGAAGTCATAATAGTTGAACCTGGGGGTGCCTGTGAGTTTCCTGATTTGGATTTGGGTGCTATAAAACCAATACATGAAGTCTACAGTAAAAACCTGGGTGTTATAATAGACAGTGAGTCTAAACTGGATAAACAGATTAAATTAGTAATCAAATCCAGCATTTGATGCAGTTATCGAAAGTCAAGTCTTTTTTTATCTTTTAATGATTTTGAAAGGGTTTTACTGTACATGTTTTTATTTCAACATGCCTTGACTACTATAATGGCATCTATTCAAACTTTGCACGTGACGTCACAAGTACTGGCTGGCGGGCTAGAACGTGTCTAGCAACGAAACACAGTAAGCTAGTCAATGATCATGCCAGGACGGCGCCAGTTTTAATATACAAAAGTTGGTGTTTTGAGGTGTAAACGACACGCCAGATAGTTGTTATGCGATTGGATGCACTAATGTCAATAATGTAATCTTAAAGGGTAACTAAACCCTAAACCAACTTTTTTTAGTTAATAATCTGTAAGAATGGGGCTTTATTAGTGCTGATCATTGATTCGAGTAATGTTTTTGAAAGTTCCCTCTCAACCTCCTTCCACCCCCTCCATCCTTCAGTTCCATCTCGAGCTGCTATCACACCGACTGAGGACAATGGTGAAACTGCCAAGCCCACGACTCCACCTCAGCTCAGCCTTGGTACTCCAGACCTTGAGTCACCCTGGGTCTTCATC